CCCGCCCCCCCAGCTCCACAGCTCTAGCCACACTGGCCTTGCCATTTCTCAAACACATCAACATGCTCCTGCTTCAGGACCTTTGCACGGGCTGCTTCCTCTGCCAAGAACACTCTCTGCCAACTCTTTGAGTGGCTGAACACCTCTTCCTTCAGGTCTCAGCTCAGATGTAACCTCCTCAGGGAGGCCCTCCCTGACCACCCCATGTAGAGTAGCTCACCATTCTCCCACCTCATTTCTCACTTTCCCATCACCATTTATTACTATCCCAACACGCATCACCGTGCTGTAATTATGCTGGATGTTCGTTTGTTCCCTTGTTTATCTCCGTCCTACTAGAACATGTATGTAGTGCAAGAGGGCAGAGCCCCTGTTTGACCTTCTTTGTCCTGTTTCTTCAGAGTCTAGGCCAGGACCTGGCATATCATGGATGCTCAGGAACTGTCAGCTGAACACAAGTCCTGGTGGGCACTGGGGAAGGCTGGGGTGGGTGAGTCAGGCATGGACATGAACAGTATACCTTGCACATGCAGTGTGGCTGTGCCCTGGTCCATGGCGAACATGTTGGAGCCGGTGCATACATAGGTGCCCGCGTCACTTGGCTGGACATTGCGAATGGTCAGGATGCCGTTGAAATCCATGGCTCGGGCTGGCAGTTTCCCATTGTGCAGGCGGGTCCACACCAAGGTGTAAGCCGGAGACTGCAGGTGGGGCAAGGGGATGGGATGGGGGTTAGGGGTGGTGCTTGGAGACCCCAGGAGGCAGAGTCTTCCCGGTGACCACTCCATGCCTTGCCCACCTTGCTCTTGGCTGTGCAGATGAAGGTGACATCGGCTCCGGGGCGCACACTTTGGCTCCGCTGCTCCTCCACTGTCACTGTGATGGGCTTACCTGGAGCCTCTGCGGGGATGGGAGGCCCCCAGTGAGTGATGTGCTGGCCAGGCCCCTGTCCTGTGGCCAGTTCTCTCTCTCCTTCATCTTGTCTGGGTGTCACTTGTTTCCCTGTCTAGCTTAGATTCCGTTCACTCCCTGGCACCTCCCTCCCTCATCCATTGGAACTCCACTGTCTGTCTGTTTTCTGCTGGCACTGAGCAGCCAGTGGGCTGTGATGGAGAACATCACACCATGATACCACTTGGCTCCAGTTCATGACCACAGACCACAAGTGAGCTCTGAACACTTCGTACTTCACTGCAACTGGGCCTCTGTCTGGTTCAAGTTTCAACCCTCCCCAAAACCATTTCACACCTCCTCCCATCCTCTCCACCCTCCAGAACCTCCTTCCACTTTCATAGCTGATGGCTTCAATTCACACTTGTTGAGAAGACTGAAACTCCTAGACAGGAATTTCCCATCTTCCCTCCTTCCTGGTCCCTGAAGAAAGAGACTCTTCCCACACCCCCCACTTCTGAGTGCCGGAGCCCCTCCAAGGACTTCCTCCCTCTGCTGTGACCACGCTTGCTACATCAGTCTCTCCCTCTCCACTGGATCATTCCTCTCCACAGACAAATGTATTCTAGAATTTCCCATCTCTGAAAAGGCCCCCTTGACCCCATACTCCCCCCAGCTACTGCCCCATTTCTTGGTCTCCCTTCAGTGCCAAGACTCTTGAAAGAGTTGTCTGCACTGGCTGCCTTCCCATCCATTTCCTGCCTCACTCTAACCCGGTTTCTTCGCCTTCTCTCCACTGAAAACAATCCTTGTTAAAGCATGATCTCCAAGGGCTATTCCTTGGCCATATCTCACTTCCTCAGGGCATATGGTGAGGCTGAGCGCCCCCTCCTGGAAGGCTTCGCCCCTCTGGGCTTCCAACACACACCTCCCTGGTCTCCTCCTTGCTCATTGGCCCACCTGCTCAGTCTCTTCCTGTAAAAGAGACTCTTCAACTTGACACATTAAAGTTGGAATTCCTTGTGGCTCTGTCCTGGCCCTGTCCTCAAGCCACACTCTCCCTGGGTAATTTCACCCTGCCCCATGGCTTTAAACATCACCCTTATGCCAACAGCTTGCAAATTCATCTCTCTGGCCAGAGCCTCCTTCTTGAGTTGCAGACTTACATATCCAATGCCTACCTGATGTACCTACTTAGATGTTTCCCCAGACATCTCAAACTTGGGATTCTCCCTGACCTGTTTGTAGCAGGTGCTGCTGCTTGCCCCTGCTCAATCCCCTCACCCTGTCCATTCAGTGCCACCCCGTCTGACACCTGCCAGCTGCTGCACTTCTTTGCACCAGGACTTTCTCAGGTCACCAGAGACCACTGTGCCTGCCCAAGAGGTGGGGCAGAATGCAGGGGAATTGATGCTCCTAGAACAGGCCCCAACTGATGGCTGATAAGAGCTCCCTTGATCCTGGGGCAGGGTGACTCCAAGGTACACATTTTACTCTGGAGTTTCCCAGAGTTCCTTTGGCTGCATTAAACAACTGCTCATGGTGGTAACTTACTCAATAACACCTTTACTGGCTGCCTTCTCTTCCCTGTCTTACTTCTCTGAATAAACTACTTACACATAAATCCTTGTCTCAGATTTAGGGGAGCCCAAATGAAGACACCCTCCTATTAAGCCTCTCTGATCTCAGTAAATGGGACCCCACTTGCCCAGCTGCTTGAAACCAGATGGCTGGGCAACACCCTAGACATTTCTCTCTCCCTCAGTGATCACAATCAAGTCTTGCCACCTCTGCTCTAAAACCAGTCTTGACTCCATCACCTCTCTCCATCTCCATGGCCAGAGGCCTTGTCCAGGCAACCACCATCCCCTCTGGTAGATGGGTGCACCAGCTGCCCGGGTCTGCAGCCTCAGCCCAGCCCAGGACAGGCCGTCTTGGGGACGAGGGAAGTAGGAACTCACCAGTGACCAGCAGTTCTGCCCGGCTGGTATTGGCGTGATGGAGATTACGACAGGTGCAAATGTAGACTCCAGAGTCCGAGGGCTGGACACTGGGGAAGTGGAGCTCAGAACCTGGTGGGGGGCAGATGGGAGCTCGTCAGTCCAGATGCACTCCTCCTCCTACCACCCTCCTGCCCTGTGTAAGGACAGGACCCCAGCAGGACAGGGGCAGGCCTGTGTCTCCCTTCCCACTGGGGCTGGGGCCACGGGTACCTTGATGTCGCTGCTGGGTGCTACTAGGCAAAGGCCGTCCGTCCTCACGAGACCAGTAGAAGTAGTGGGGTGGGCTCCCACTGACCTGGCACCGCAGGGAGTGGGGGCCACCTTGGGGCACAATGCTCCGAGTTGGTTGTACCTGGACTACCAGCGGGGATTGGTCTGCTGGTGGGGAAAGAGGGGGACGGGAAAGCTCATTCAGGTAGGAGGCCCCCCGCATGTGGCACTATCTCAGTACCTCTACCTTTCCAAAGACTGGCCTGCCCCATTCCCAGCCCTGTCCCCCAGGCCTAGTACCTCTCAAACTCCCTAGGCTCCATGACTTGCCCATCACCCCAACCTGGGGCCATGGTCCTACTTACCCTGTGGTAGGCATCGGCCCCCCCGCACATTGGGGTTCCCCACATAACCTGGGGCGCACCTGTAGGGGTGGAACAAGGAGTAGCTCTGTCAGCTCCCCGGGCACTCAGGGCCTCATGGTAGACCTGGGAGCCAGAAGCTCAGCCGGCTGCCCAGTGTGGGGTGGGAAAGCTCAGGGCTCTCAGAGCATTTCAGACACCAAAGAGGCCCCAACACAGGGCCTTGGTGAGCTGAGAAAACAGGGTGCAAGGGAATATCAACAGGTTGGGTATGGGGGTGGTAAAGGCTTTATTCCCCAGGCAAACACTCATTCAACTAACATCTATGAAGCAGTCATTATGCTCGGTTATGAAAATACAACAGTGGACATGGAGTCCCTGCTCTTACAGAACTTAACTGCTGGGAAACCAGCATGAAAACCATGTAAAATGAGAGTGAGGGACAGGTACCGGGGGCTGTGAGTGCACAGATCCAGCCCTGAGAATGAAGAGGCTTCCCACAGAACGGGGCTGCTGAGCTGTCATTCCCTGGGAGCAGGCTGCACTCTTTAGAGAATTTATCACTGTTTGTAATGATGTATTCATATGATCACTGTTTCGCTGTCTTATCTCCCATTCCAGGTGGGAGACTGCACAGGGCTGGACGGAATCTGTTCTGTTCACCACTGTATCTCCGCCAGCTTCGCACACTACGTGGCACCCCGTAGATGCTTGATAGAAATGTGCAGAATGAGTGAATAAAGCTGAGCCTTGGAGGCCGCATGGGAGTTAGCCAGGAAGGGGAAGTCTGAGGGTGAAGAATGTTCCAGGTAAAGGAAATGGCCCATGCAAAGACCTGAACATCAAGTAGTCAAGACTCTAAGCCCAACTAGAGCAGAATTAGGTGTTGGAAATGGAACGAGACTGAAGAGTGACAAGGCTACCTAAGGAGCTTGGGCTTGTGCCAAGGGCAACAGGGAATCAAGGAGAGGGACCTGGTCCTGGTGGAGAACTTTCTGAGCAACACAATCTAGGGCTCTCATCTAGGAGTTTACCACACACCCTCTCCCTTCACTCTTCCCATTTGCAAACTTACTGTTCACAGTACTGGCCAGTGTAGCCAGGCTCACAGGCCGTGCAGCGGTACCCACCAGCTACCAGGCTCTCGCAGGTGCGGGAGAACCTGGGACAGAGGAGGCCAAGGTCAGGCCATGGGATGCCCACACCCCACCCTGCTCCCTTCATTCTGCCCTGAAAGCCAGTGCAGCGCCCTCCACTCCCCAATGGGAGTTCTTCCTTGGGCCGTGAGCAAGGGCACCCACATGTTCTCCGGGTTGGTCAGCGGGCAGGCGCAGGGCTGGCAGTCCTCAGGTGTTCCGGCTGTGGCATCTCCATAGTAGCCAGCTGCACACAGCTCGCAGAACTCTCCGGCAGCATTGTGCTGGCATTGCTGTGAGGTATAAGGATGTCAGCCACTCACCCTTTGGCAGAATTTACCAAAAGCCTTATAATTTTGGAATCCTTCGATCTGAAAATTCCACATTTGTGAAGTATCTTAAAGAATGTTCAGCTCAGTGGTGTTTATAAAAGTAAAATGCTGGAAATAAACCTAAACATCCATAAATAGGGAACTAGATAGGTTAAAATCAATATACACCCAACTATCTATCAAGAATGATGATGCTGATTATGTTTCTTACATTTTTTCTCCCTAAACACCTGTAATATCGTAGGAAAGTAAATGTATATACCTGGGTATGCAGGGGGGAAAGTTTAAAGATAGATGCTTTATTATAAAAACATGTGGGTTTCATATTTGTCTCTGAAGAGATTCATGTTTGTTTTATTAATGTAGCATGTTGCTTGCGCTGTCAACCACCTAACCCTGACCACATACCCGGAGGGCTCTACACAACTCGCTTTGAAAAGTTCGGGTATAAAAAGTATTTAATGATATGGAAAGATGTTCATGAACTTGTAAGTGAAAAAAGTTGATAACTAAACACAATGATCCTATGTTTATACGGAAAACAAAAGGTATATTAATATGTGTAAATATTTACCTAGAAAAAGAGCAAAAGAGCTGCTCACTAATGTTGACAGTGGTTACCTCCAGGTGGTAGGATAACAGGCAATTTTTACTTTGTTTTGGGTTAACTCTGTAGTCTGACTCTTCTACAGAGAACATGTGTCACTTGCGTGATACAAAATTACAGGAACCGAAGCTTTCTTTATAAAGATGGATGTTATTCCATAGGTCTGGCTATCCTACTGTGCCTGGAGCCCCTTGGTGACCAGACCTGCTGGTCTAGGTTCTTTGCCCCACAGGCCATGCCCTTGACCTAGCCCTACCTTATCAAGCCCACCCCCTCCCTATCCCACAGCCAGCCCTGGTACCCCACCCAGTTCCAGCCAAGCTGACGCCTGCCCTGGCCCTGCTTGCATCTTACCGAGCAGGCCCCGGTCTCTGGGTGGCACAGGTCCGAGTGGCCATTGCATTCACATAGCTCACAGTGGCCAAGGTAGAGCCCACTCCCAGTGCGTGTGTAGCCCGGGGCACAGTCCTGGACAAGGAGAGAGGAAGGTTGGTCTCCATTTCCAGTGCGGTCCCATCCATAGCCAGTAGACCCAGAACCTCACACCCTCCATCCTTTCCCACCATCTGGACTCTCATTGGCTCTTGGAGGGAAAATCCCAGGCCCAGCCCTGTATCACCACGTCCTCTCTCAGCAGCCCCCCTCCATGTCTTCATCTTCACTCCAACACTCCAAAGCTGGGATATTGTCTGACCCCATCCTGGCATCGCCAGCCACTTAAATTTACTGAAATACTAGTTCATCCTGGAGAACCCATCTGCATCCCCAGGACTCTCTTCCTGAAAATTCTTCTGGCAGGGTCTTTATTAAAAAACTTAACCCCTCGATGGAAAAAGAGGGTTCAGGAGACCTAGATTTGGAACAAGCCCTTGAAAAGCTTTACAACTATTCACTGAATAAAGTGAAAGAGGCTGCACTCATACAGCCAAGAGTGTTTTTACTCTCTGAGTGAGTAATCACAGGCTCTGAAGACAACGAATTTCTGCTCGCCACTCCTTCTTTGAAATCTCTCCAGGCACTTCCCCTCTCCCCAACCACTTCAAAGGCATGTTTATAAATCTGTTTTGCTTCACTGCAGAAAATGTGCACCAAGCATTCTACTTTCCCCAGGGGTTCTCCTTCAAAATGCGTTAAATTTTATAATTTCAAGGGACCTGAAGTTCATATATTTGGATTTGAAAGTTCTTGTGGCCACAGCAAAGATGTAAAACTGCAGAGATGTGGACTTCCCACTGTGGGGTTCCCGAGTGGGTGGGGGGGCATTCCCACAGTGGACCTCCCAGGCCCCTGCCTGGTATTGCAGCCCTGCCCCCTCCCCTCGGTGATTCCTTCCCCAGCTCCACATTCACTCATCAAATGCTAACTGGTTGCCTGGGTGGTCAGCAGTAGGCTCAGGCCCGCTCTCCTGGAGTTTGGTATCCAGCCATCCCTGCAGGTGCTTTTGGATTCTCTCCAACTGGCAGCCCTCTGTTCCACCCCCACTGTCCTTCCCTCCCAGGACTCCATCTCTCCCCCTGCCCCATCCATCACATTCACCAACAGCAGAGGATCTTTCCTGGGGCCCAGCTTCCACTGATAGCCTTGTTCCAAGCCTAAGGAAGTTCCCCCACCCCCATCCCCGTTTTCCAGGGGTGACCCTTCTGCATTGCAGGCTATTTCCCCACACATCCCTCCTCAGTGGCTGTGTATTATGCCTTCCTGCCTAGAATCCTACTCCCTCCATGCTGTCCCTCTCGTCTCTGAGACACTTCCATGCTCTGCTTTGGGCTAGAGCACTGTGTGTCAGGGCATGGTCTCCCTGTCTCTGGTAGGCACAGTGAGAGCATGAGCTGGGGCTTAACCTCCAGAGATGGTAAGCCATTCTCCCTTCAGTGCCTATATTTTTAAAAAACCTGTTAAAAGGGAATTGCACATTTCCAGGGCTGTTGGGAAGAATAAATGAAAGATTACAGAGTACATTAGAGTTATGACTCGTCACAGGTTGTGGAAATGCTAGGTGACCAGCTTGCTGATCCAGCTGTGCCAGAGCAGAGGTATCTGGGCTGGTCACACTCACCTGGCAGGACAAGCCGACATAGCCTGGGGGGCAGCGGCATTCCTCCACCTCCAGGGCCGGGGGTCCCTGTGAGGGCCCTGGCCGGGCGACCTCCAGGCTGACTGCGCTGATGGTGGCCGCCAGTGGCATAGAGGAGAATGTGGCCCGGACCAGGAGCTCGTCCAGGTCAGCCAGCGCCATCAGGAGGTGCTCCCGCGTGGCTGGCTGCCCGTCAGGCCGGCGCCAGAATTCCTGGGTGGGGGGATGACAGCGCGTGGGTGAGGGGTATTGGGCTCTGTGTGATGCTTCTGCAGCCCCTCCGCACCCCATCCTCCAACTCCTGCCTTCCAGGTACTGGCGAACAACTCTGAGGTGAGGGTGGGGGAGCGAGAAGCAGGGTAGCTGGTGCCAAAGCCAGGCTCCAAAGCAAGGGTGGGCTGGATACAGGGTGGCCGAGTGCCCCTTACCTCTCGGAAGACAATCTCATAGTTCTTCCTCTCGGAGCCTTGCAGTGCTGGCTGGGAAGCCACCAGCATGATGTTGTTGCCCTGGGGAGACACCAGAGGGATTTGGAGGGGAAATGAGGGGCTCTTGGGAACAGCAGAGTCCTCCACCAGGTTCCAGCCTCCCTGTAACACCAGCCTCTCATCTCCAATCTCCCAGCTTATGTGCCCAAAGGAATCCAGTACACGCCCACTGCCCCCTTTGCCCAGCAGCTGGGCCCCTGCCTGCGTAGTGTGCAATCAGGTGAAGAGGTGGGGGCACAGGCTTAACTCCCCCAGCTGGTGCCAGGCCAGCTGGGCGATGGGCTGAAAGGGCAGAAGAAACAATGCGGGTGACCCCTTGCTCCCCCATCTGCCTGCCCAGCATGAAATCCACGTGCTCACCATGATCTGGACGTCAGGGTCAGAGAGCGAGCTGCCCTGTGCCCCCGCTGTGTAGGACAGGGTGTACCGCAGCTTCCCGCCATAGGCCGCCACCTGCAAAGAGGCAAGCCCTGCAGTCACAGGCTGACTCTGCCCTCCCCTGGGGCGGGATATAACCATACAGGTGCGGGGGCCAAACCTCTCAAGGTGCTTCTGCACCTGCACCTGTGCTGTCCTCCCCCCACCCCCAACCAGAGGCTGGTGGGTGTGCATGGCCTGTGCTTGCCTAGGAGACAAGCTCACTTCCTTCAGGGTCTCAGAGCTGGTGGCAATCACTCTGAGCAGCCTCTTTTCTGTTTTGGGGGTTTCCCATTTCCAAGTGCCTGACAATCACAGCAAACACGCTCCAAGTCCCTTTCCATTAGAAGGAATTACCCACAAAGTAGACAGGGGGAATTACAGTGACCACCAAGGGGAGGTTGCAGAAGGTCCCAAGTTCTTAGCCAGGGGGGTAGGGCTGAGGGTGGCCCCTCAGAGGTCTTGTCTCCTAGGCAGGTGGGTTTTGTTTGCTCAGAATCCATTTCCCCAATTTTTACAAAGTGCAGCCTTGGTTTCCTTTAAAAGAAACCATGTCCTACATGCAGGCCATGTAGTTTCAGTGGAGACAAGAGCCAGGCCTGGCCAATCTGAACATTCTACCACGCCCCCTCTCCGCTCCACTGGGGGTGCACACGTGAACCTGGCACATCTGCTCCTTCTACCGGAACAGAAAAACTCCCTTTACCAGCCACGCTGGAAGCCGGAGAAGGATGACAACTGAGATAAGTTCTAATGAACCCCTGGATCCAGCCATGCCTGACACCAGCTATCGTTGGACTTACAATAGATTCTTTTCTTTGTTGCAGAGAAGCCAGCTGGACTTAGGTTTTCTATGGCGCACAATGAAACGGCCCTTACACCTGCCACCGAAGGCTTTCACTTGGGCAGCCAGGGCCTCAGCTCTGACCCACAGGACTTTTCTTTCTTTCCTCTGCCACCAGGGCAGATGTTCAAACCAATACCACAGTGCATCAGGCCTAGCCCANCTCAGCTCTGACCCACAGGACTTTTCTTTCTTCCCTCTGTCACCAGGGCAGATGTTCAAACCAATACCACAGTGCATCAGGCCTAGCCCATCTATTCACTTGTTTGTTCATTCAGTTTTGAGCATTTATTAAATGCCTATTGACTACATGCCAGGTCCTGGGCTACACGGGCCCCGAGGATATTCTCCACAAGCTCAGGGTAGGGTAAGAAGTTCAGGGCCATAACCAAATAACCATGAAACCCCTGGTTTCCTGTTTGCTTTGGATGCCAGCAAGTTCATTGCCAAGTTCAGGACCAAGCTGCAGGCATGTGCAGCAGGGTGGCTAAGGGAGCAGACTGTAGTCTGAGACCAGAGTTCAAGTCCAGCTGTACTGGCTGGACAGCCTTGGGCAAGTCACTGAACCTCTCTGAGTCTTACTTTCCTCTTATGGAAATGGTGGTAAAAATAATACCTACCTGGGAGGATAGCATGAGGATTAAGTAACACAGGCCACGTAAATACAACACTCAGTATAGTGCCTGCAAGCGCACAACCCAATGCTGCCAAGTCCCCATCTCGTCCAGCTCCGCCCTTGGCTTCAGCAGAGCTCCCCATCCTCATTTCCCCCGGCCAGACTTTCCTGTCTGCTTCTCTACGTTTCACTGTGTTGCAAATTACGTGTATTCTTTAGAAGACTAAATCATTTTTGGAACAAGATAGAGGTGATGCCGATACTAACAGTGATGTTAATAATAATAATGCTGCTGCTAATAGGCATGATAATCAGACCAGCCATGAACTCTGAGAGGTCAGGGTCTCATACACAACAGAGTGCACAGTAAGTGCCTAATTAATGCTTCTTCTTCTTTTTTTTTTTTTTAAATATATCTTTATTGATTTCAGAGAGAGGAAAGGAGAGAGAGAGAGAGAGAAACATCAATGATGAGAGAGTCATTGATCGGCTGCCTCCTGCACGCCCCCGACTGGGGATCGAGCCCGCAACCCGGGCATGTGCCCTGACTGGGAATTGAACCCCGATCACCTGGATCCTAGGCCGACACTCAACTGCTGAGCCACGCCTGGCCGGGCTAATTAATGCTTCTTGAATGAACAAATGTAGTGCCAAGAGCTACAGGGTAGCACTCGCAATCCGGACACAGAGTAAAGGGAGCCTAAAGAAGGGGTGTCTACTTCCTTACGCTCCCTTGAAGGTAAGACAACCCTTCTGCCAGGGGCTGGTGGCCGCTAAAGAGCAAAGGCTGATCTGGGTTTAATCTCAGCCCTACTTTGACCTGAATGTAGGACTCCAGACAAGTCCCTTCCCCTCTCTGGGCCTCGGTCTACCCATCTGATCATAAAGGGCTTTGACAAAGGGCCCTCTGATATTTCAGAGTTGATGACACTCCTGTAACCCTCCCAACTCCTTGTTACCTTGTTCCCCAGGAAGGCTCGGGGCAGCTGCCAATAATAGAGGCTTTCAGGAAGCAGAGAGAAGCCTTCGAAGGAGAGAGAGAACTAGGACAGAAGGACAGGCGGTGAGAAGGGAGGGAGCAGGTGCAGGACCACGAGGGCTGAGGACAGAGCCCCCACCCCACAGCCCAGGTCCAAGCCCTGCTCTTGGACAACTTGCTCCCCTTGTCTGGACCCGACACCCCAAGTGCTCTCGCTGGGTGTGGTCTGGGTCTGTGTCACCTCACACCTGGTGCATGCCTCTTGTGGACCCCAAGGTGACTGACATGGCACATCAGAAATCATTTTTAAGTTTAATGGCCGTCTTAATGTGTACTTAAAAATGTACAGCTAGCATAACTTAGTAGTGATTGATTTAAAGGAAAATCTGAACTAAATAACAGTCCAGGCAGTGTGCAGAAATTGTCAAGTTGGTTCAGAACCAATCGATGTCTAGAAAACATGTGGGGGCCCATCGGTGGGTGCCTGGCACATACCTGAGAGCCTATGGAAGAAGACAGAGAAGCTGAGGAGGAGGCGGAGAAGGGTGGAACTGCTCGCAGAGCAGCTGCAGGCTGGGGATGGGGCAGGAGCCCCGGGGGAG